CAGCAGGATGTCTGCATGTCCCCTGTCAGTGATGTCGGCTTTTTTCTACTTTATCTGTTAATTTTATATATACAAAATTAAAGTATTTTACATTTTTAAAGTCAATAAGGAAGAGCTTTATTGGATTGTTTAACACTCTGAGTAGAAAAACTTATATGTTTCAGAGCTTAGTAGAATTAACCCGAAAATAGCGATTGAGTGAATAATTAGCTTTGTAATGCATATCTCTGTTGTCTTTTCTTCTGGTTATAGAACTTAATATTTAGCTATTTAAAAGCCAATATTTGTGCCCTCCAGTTGGCATCACTGTCTCCCGCCTTTTCTGGCTCCTTTGAGTGGTCGTTGGTCCTTCGCTGTTTGTTTGCCCGTCGTGGAGTGTTCAGCTGATGACGGTTCCTGCCTGCCAGCCTGGTTTTCTGGGTGTTGAGCGGGGTCCTTAGCGATGAGACGAGATACAGGACATGCCAGACGCCACCGTCGGACTGGTCAGAAATGTGTCTCAACTGTAACAGGATCAGACATCATGGGCAAACCAAAAATGCGAGGGATAATGCTGCTGTGAGTTGTTTTCGCAAAATGAAGATAAATGTTTTAATGCAAAGTTGAAATGCTAAAGTCACATAGAATGACAAGTGCGATGCAAGCTACATTTATAATACAATGAATAATTTAATGGAAGTTAAGGGGATAAACAAATCTAACAATGTGTGACTTAGGCAAGGTATCAGATTAAATTTCTTAAATTCTATAATATCAGTTAAAAAGAATATAATTAGTCAATCCTTTTACTTCCTTCACAATATAAAAACACCTTGAAATAACAATAAAGATTGTATTTAATATTGGATTTATTTAAAAATTTTCTGTAGCATATGAAACTTATAGACTTATATGAAATGCAACAAATGTATTAATATTTATTTTTATTATATTTTTTTGTTTGCTTTAAATACTCCGGTTACCTTAAATATAACCCAAATAAATTTCACACTAATTTTATGTCCTTTCCCATGCTCAGAATAAAACTATTCCGAACTCGTCGCGTTTCCTTCCTCAATTTTCCCCCTGAACAGTTTTTAGTTACTTTTTATTTAGTATCCCACGAGTTCTAATTGCCTCTCCCCTTAGGTGTCGTTGAAAGAACATAAATTAGTGACAAATTCATTGATATCGACACATATCGAGTGTCTGGGAGTGTCCGGGCAGGTCCTTCGATGACTAATGAAGCGCCGACAAATGAAACAAATGTCACAACTGAGCGATAAATGAAGCGCACTAAACTGGAATTGTTGCGACATAAAAATGCACTAAAAAGACCGGAGAAAAGAAGTGGCAGATGTTGACGAAAGACAAACTACTGCGGCATTGATCATTGAGTTTGAGTGTTGTTTTGGGGTTCCTGATCCCAGACCCTATAATTATATTTAAAGCCGCAACCGCACAAAAAGATGCTGGTCCGCGTAGCCAATAATGTCATCATCATTACAAACCCGGACATGTTTCCCATATGGATGAGCGGGATTAAGCACTTTCAAATAAAGTCAAAACAATAAAAATTAAAAAAAAAGCCAGAGCGTGTGCGCATGCGTGGCCTCTGTCATTTTACAATCCCCATTCCCACCGAAAGGTCAACTTATCCAAACGAAATTGAACCTTTTATGAGGGCGAGGGCGTCTCACTTTCGTCTGCCCATATGCTCGTCTTTGTTTTTCAAAAATATCCAGGGGAATAACTCATAAAGCAAACATGTGCCGTCAATGTGTGGCCAAATGCTTTTGAGCGAAAAGGAAGTGAAGAACTGAGAGGATATCTCAAGGTTCCTGAGACACGAGACAACTTAAGAACCTTTTAATTGGCGCGAGGTGCGATGCGGTTCGCATCCAATCCGATACAATCCAATCAATTCTTATCGAACACGCGATGCAATCAGGAGTGAAAAGCAATTATAGGCCGATGCCGCTTCTCGCCTCGATTTATGGAATTTTAATGAGCGAAATTATGCCCAAGGAAAGCAAAAAGTATCGCACAAGAGTCAACAGCAGCAGCAAAAAAAATCTGATTTTCTTGGTATGAGACCCCAGTCAATGTAAACATTTTTGGTTGGATTTCTTGTTGATTTTGTTGCCATCGCTCTAATAAAAAAACACCCAAACGCGCTATGAATATGAAATTTTATGAAAATATTCAGCGAATGCATAGCGCCTCTAAATATGAATACAAAAGTATAAAAAAGAAATTGCGAACAAAATCGAAAGAAAAATGAAAAGTTGATGGATTCCACTGGGTTCCGTTCTGGAAAAGTGTATTATTTTGGGTGCGGGCTATAAAACTTTTTTGGTTAAATAAATATAAAAGTGTCTAGACGAGGATTTATTTCCAGAAACAGAGGATAATCTGTTGGAAACACAGTTGGTATAGAATCTTCTAAACTTAGATAATGTTGGATTTTGTTATAGGGGAGCTTTAAAAAAATGTTATTAGAAATTATATAACTGAAAGGAATGAAAACAAAACTACTGCAAATGGTAATTCATCTTCTTCTGAAACAATCTTTGATTTTTTTCATTGCCAATAAAATATTTTCTTTTTCTCATGTTGAACTGTCTAACAATTATTTTGGTTTCCGTTGAGACCAAGTTTTATCCGTATTTGGCTCAAAACTTTTAACGCACATTTCGTGTAAGGGATCCAACCGCTGAGCTTTCCACTTAACCCCCTTTTCCGCCCACCTGAGCCACCTGTCAACGGCATCGTCAACAAAATCACCATCATCATTATCAACACTTCCCACCATCTTTTCGGGATTTTCGAGTAGTCGTTTTAAATCCGACTCTCCTGCTTAATTAATTGGCCTTCTTTTTGAATTTGAAATTAAAACTGCCTTTACTGCCCGTTTTGGCCCTTTTCCCTTAGTTTTGCCGCCCATTTTCCGCGCCTTTTTCCCACATTTCCCCACCCTTTTTCCCCTCCCCTGTCCCTACTCTTGCTTCCCCTTTTCACTACTTTCACCCCCTCATTCACGCTTTACTGGCTGCTTAATTACGGAAATTCGTGGGGCCCACCTAATCCGGGGTTTCTTACCACCCAAAGAATTGCATTTGCCAAATGTCTGCAAAATTGTTCACCCCCTCTCTCTCTCTCGCTCTTTCTCGTCGTCCCTCTCTTTTCATTTCGTTTTTTTTACTTTTTGGTAGGGGCTGTGTTCCGTTTCCGTTGCGTTCCGCGACCGCTCCTTGGCTATAATATCTCAAAGGTTCCACTCAGAATTCCGTTTGCTGGCTTCGCGTTCGGTGTGTTTTTGAAATTTTAGCTCCGTCTTTGGTTGTATTTAATTCCAATTGGAAACGCGTAACGGTAACTTGACGAACTTTCTTTGTATGGGAGCGCGGGTGTGTGTGTGTGTGTTTGTAATATTCTCTTTGTGTTTGTAATACTTTCGTAGTGTGTGGGAGTTGTAAACAACGCAGACTCTCTAAGACCAAAAGGGCATTTTTCGGGGGGTTTTTCTTCGTTTTTCCTGCATTTCCCACTTGACGTGTTCCCATTTCGCTGCTTCCCGTTTCCCTCCCTCTTTTTACCCATGATCATATGGCGCGCATTTTGCGTGCTTCCTTCCTCCGTCTTAAGTTTTTTGTTTCTTCTTCATACTTTTTTCCTGGTCTTTTTTTGTTTTTGGCCAACTTCCTGTTGCGTCCTTTACGAACTTCAGGGCGTTTATTGTGTGCATAACTGTCGGGCTCAACCTTAAATAACCGTATATTGCTGGCAAATAATTTTCGTCGTCGTGTGCAGTCAAATGCAAATTTCATTTTATTTTCTCATTCATGCAAAATGAGTATTTATGACTCTTGCCTTTCATTTGCCTCTTGCAGTTTTGATTTATTCTACTTGACTTTATTTTTATGTTGGCTCCTAAAGTTGGGTGTGTCGCGAATTTCTGGAGGAAGTGGGTGGGAATATTTTGAAATTGCCAAAGCGAAGTTTAAATTTGATTGGTTACGGCAGCTGCTTCTTGTTATTGCTACAGGGAAACCTTTTATGAAAGTGCAGTGCAAGGGAAGTTATGAACCATGTTTCGGAATCATAAACACGCTTTCTCATATATAAATTATTAAGTCGAAGACAATAAACTTTGTGCAAATAAGTTTTTAAATCTATAAATTGATCTACTAAAAATATTATGTAATTTAAACTACAAAAACGTTTAAATTCATAGTATAGTTGTAAGCCTGTTTCTTCATTTGGTAATTATTAAATACCACCCAATCACCTACTGTATATTTTTTTTGTATTTTATTTGATAGCCCCTCTCATGTTCTTAAGCCTTCAACTCAAATTACTTCAAACTTTCTACAAAACCCTTGAAAAGTTTACAAAAACCCAACCAAAACCTCATCACTCGAGCATCGCTTGCCCGAAAAATTCCCTCGAAAAAGTGTAAAAAAATAAAACGCACGTAGAGTGTAACGGAAACTCATGAAACTACAGGATATTACACAAATACAGATAAACAGCAACACCTATTGGCCAGAAAAGCGGAGAGAGTTGGGGAAAAGTTAGCTTAGAGGTTGGCTATAAACGAAACGTAGGAAGTCAGGAAGTTCCGACTGCGGTTGTGGAGGAGATGGAATCTGTAGGCTCACAGTTTTCGATGGGAGGCAAAACATATGATTCGGGGAGAGTCAGAGAGAGTTTTCCTTGCTCTCTCGCAGAGTTTTCCTTGCTCTCTGGCAGAGTTTACCTAGCGCTCTGGCAGAGTTTTCCTGACGCTCCGGCCTTGCTTTCCTTTCTCTCTGGCAGGGGTTTCCCTGCTCTTTGTTGGATTTCCTACTGCCTCTCTGCTCCTGAGTAACTTTCTCTCTCTCTGCGCCCACTCACTCAACAGGAGTATTGGCTCTCTGCAGCGCTGCTTTCACATGTTTTTTTGGTGGTGGAAAACTCGGTCGGCCTAGACATGTCGCTCTCCCATCAGTTGTGAGGACTTTTCCAACATGCTCTGGGCTCATTGTGTCGATTGAGTTGCTCGTGGAAGGACGACGACGACGGCGGTGTCTCCAGTCTTTGAGTTTCGGTTCGGTCCGCGCCAAAGGATATACAGACCCACACACACCAATATTTAATACCGCCCACCACCCCCCGAATACATAGGCGCAGTGAAAAATTCTATACGTTTGCTGTGTCTGTGTGCGTGTCTCGCGTCGCGTGTTCGAGTGCGTGTGTGTGAAATGGGCACAGCGAAAATAATTTAAATAAATTCGGAAGAGTCCATAAAGAAAGTTAATGCAAAATTCTTTTCTCCTTACAAAATCTGTATAAAAGAATTAAATTTAAGAAAGAAAATACAACATATACCACAAAAAAAGATATATATAAGATATATCCTTGTGTGTGTGCCAGTGTCCAATGTGCAAAAGTGTTGATGGAAACTAAAACCAATAAAACGTAAAGCTAACCGGGTTTTAAGTCCCAAAGAGATTATTGTAGTAAAAACACAAGCACTTGTTAAAAATCAATAACTGGGATTAGTAGCTGAAGTTTATAACAAAAAAAAAACACGGAAAAGGAAATCGGAGAAGAATCAACAAAACTTAAAGTAAGCTCAAATTTCAAACAAAGTTTATGGAAGTAAAATATGTCTTCTGTGTAAAAAATTAAAAAAAAAACTGAAATCATGTGTGAGCGGAAAAAAGTCTTCAATAAATTTGTTTTAAAAACAAATTAGTGACCAGAAAAATAATATTTTAGCTTGCAAAGATAATTACGTTTTCATTATAGTGATTTTTGTTGTAAAGTGTTTTTCCTTATTTTACGTAGAATTTTTAAACAATTCCACTTGATTTTGGTTTTGTTGCTTGAGTGTGTGTGTGCAGAAACATTTGAGGTTAACACACCTTAGACATATACATACACGCCACACACACACACACACACACACTCAAACACACACCAATACAGAGAGAGAGGAGCCCCAGCCCGAGAAGCCGCTGGGCTCTTTTGCTCCTGTGCGTATGCAGCAGTTTCTTTTTAGCCCGAGCTCCCGCTCTGTTTTTGGGGAGCATGAAAAATCGATCGAATCCTTGTTCCCCTCCCGTCTGGAGCTACAATTATGTTCTGCCCCTTCCCCCCCACTCCCAAAAAAATAAGGAAAACAGCGGCGGCCGCTTATCAGCAAAAATACGAACTCGTAGTACTCCAACATAGTTTCCCTGTAGGAAAATTGGCAGGAGTCTGCACAGTGAGTTTTGTATTTTCTGGGGGGTTGGTTTTTCGCAGAGAGAGCGTGGAAAGCCTCTCTGGGCTTTGCAGATTTTCCACCAACTCTCTGAATATTCTACTCTCTTGGCTTGCCGCCATGTGGGCTGCACTTGTTCCTCGGCCCTTTGCTTTTACTTCGCCTTTCTTGCCGGCTTCCTAGTCTCCGCTTTCATGTTTGCTTTGTCGCGATGGGTTGGAAAAAAAGCAATGAAGGGTGAATCAAAAGAAATCTGCTTAAATGCGACTCGGAGAAAAGAAAGGACAGCTTTGAGATACTTTATCTACCAGACTTGGCATGGGAATTCACAAAGCAAGGTTGATATATTGCTCAAAGTATTATTTACTTACCCGAATCAATAAGGAGTATAGAAAGTTAGACATTTTGACCATGAGAAATATACATATTTTTTTTACTAATAAACACTATTTTGTTTTTGTGTGCAAACTTCGATTATAGTCTCTTTTATTACCAAAACTAACCCAAATTATAGTTCAAAATATTATGAACAGTTGTTTGTTTCTCAGCCAACCTTTCTCACATATTAAGCGCGAAATTGCCTACACCAAAATATTTCCATTTTATTGAAAAAGATGAAAAACTAATCACTATAATTTGTCAGTCAATAATAACAGCAATAATTTGCAGGCAACAAGCAAACTATAATCTAGCAATTTGCGGGCAATAATGTAATCAGTAAATTGCGTCTACACTCTTGACGTCCAAACAAAAAAGACCCAAGACCCAAAGCTCAAAGCGGTCCGAAGATGCTTCACAATTCGGAAAAAATTAAATAAGAGGAAAAAATAAATATGAGTATAAATCTACGTGCCAGTCAGGAAAATACAAAAACACCGTCTGGTCGGAAGAGATTTTTTGAGCAAAGTGTGGCAAGAGGGATTCAACGAAATGAGTGAACAGTGGATTAAAAGTGGTAAAAAATAGTACGCTTGTCAAGTAGAAAAGTTTTTGGATTGAACACGAAATCAATTAGAGCTTAGCCTTGTTTTCTAAATCAAACTCAATCCAATTTTCATTTACATGTTTTAAATATACAAACAACTTAATCTCAACTATGTTTTATTGTGTTTTATGAAATCATTTTTAAATAAAATATTTATATACTTATACTATGTATATACAACTACCCAGCATTTAACATGTAATATACATATGCTAAAATCATGAATTTTCAACCACTAAAATTTTTTTAAACAACTAGAGACCAACCAATTTTTTAAAAGATATTTGAGCCGTTTTAGCCCACTGCTTACCACTTTGCCATTGACAGCGTCGATGTTATCGCCTTGGTTCAGGCCAAAAGCGAAAAAAAACTGAAGACGAAGACGAAGACGAAGCGACGGTGACGTTGACTTTCGACTGTGGGAATTGTGAGAGGAGCAGCAAAAAGCTGCTTGCCACCTTAAAAGCCCCAGACAGCCTCAAAGAGTTCTTGGCCAAGTCAATATAATTGACTTATCTGCGCTGCATTGTTCTTGCCTTTTGGAGCCAAGACGAGTTGCTGTTGTCGTTTTTGTTGCCATGGCTTAGCCTTTTGTGTTGCTATTGGCCCGAAGAGGTTGGCTCCCTTCTGCGGTTGGGCTTTTGAACATAATGAAGCTCGCTGGCCTCGTATTTGACTTATTGCGGTCGAAACGCGCCGCCGTCGAAGATTCATTGATCGATGGCGACGGCGGCGCGAGAAGCGAAAAAAAGCACGTGAAATATTGGACTTTTAGGTAGGTGGATATAGAAAATGCGACGGGGGGCCCCTGGTCAATAACTATTGAGATTGATTGAGATTGCTTTGCGGTTAAATTGAAAGCAAAGCAATGCAGCAAGCTCTTTTTCTGCTTATGCAAAGTAAAAATAAAATAAAAACAGAGGTACGTTCGAGATTGGCAACTTCCTCTTGCGTAGAGCATTTTCAATTAATTTTTTTCGGCACTTTTGCCGCCAGCCGGCATGGCAAAAGGTCTTAAATTATTAATTTCAACCTCAATTTCCGTTTGATGCAATTTTCCGCTCAAGCGACAAGTCAAAAGCAATTTATTTGAACCCTAGCCCTGGAGAAGTGGCATTTCAATTCACGTCTTCGCCAGCATTCAATGCACATGTACACAATAATTTCTTTAATGCCCAATGTTTGCATTCTCTGAGTTGCAGCAAAGCGAATTGTGAAATTGAGAATTTCAAGCGCTCAATGAATTTGCATGCCTGGCATTCGTGTGTGGCAAATATTTAAACAATTTCTCATTTATTATATTTTTGTTGAAGCTGCTCGAATTTTAATTTGAGGCTGCTATCTTCCTTGAAATGTTCTGAACAGGGGCTCAACTAAAAGGGGGGTTAGCTTTCAAAGAAATGTTTATTAAGGGAGTGGTGAAAATAGTAAATTATTCATAAAATAGTAGTAAAAGCCAATAAAGTTAAAATCATATTTTTGACCTACCGGTAACGCATTATGATTTATTATTCAATATTTAATAATATAACTTTGGAGGTTTTATGGATGAATACTGCAATACATTAGCAATTAAAACGACTTTTAGCTTTAAATATTTGTTAATTTTTTCATTTCTCGATATAGTAGTATTACAGATTACTCCCTTTCATACGAACCGGCGTTTGGTTTTATGGCCCCTTGAAAAGTCACTACCTACGCCCCTGTGCAATAAATCTTCTTCGGTTCGGCATCTTCTTGCACTTTTTTTGCTGGTCCAGGCCAACGCCTTGTGGTCTCTTTGAGACAGGGTAAAAACGAAATGAAATGAAATCTTTATGAATGAAATTTCTGCTTAATGCATTCGTCTCGGCGAACACACATGTGAGCAACATATGTGAGACTTATGATGACGATGAGATGACTTCAATGAGGAGGAAGGGTCAAACTTGGGCAGTCCGTTTGCCACTTGGAAATATTCCCTTTGCCTCGGCCAAATGTTCAGAATTTCTGTCCATGCCCCTTTCTTTAATTGAGCCTCACTGTCTTTCGTTTGAGTGGCACTGCAGAATATGTCATTTCTAATGGAATTTTCAGGCCGCATAAATATGCAAACAACTTCCGACCGAGGGCGGCGGAAAATTTGTTTAAATGCAAGCGATGGCCTCGTGCATAAAAGAGTCGCAACCCCGATTTCCCTTTTGCCTCTGGCTGTCCATATTTTCCGCTGCATTCCGTTGCTAATTGAGGACAATTAAAATTTATTAGCTGGCAACAGCAATTAAATGCAGACACCCCGTCAGCGAACGAGAGATTCTATAATGTAATACGAAGTGATTAAAAAACTGAAAGCTAAAAAAGAGTTTAATGCATTTGACGGTTCCATGTGGGTTTTAATTTGCAAAAGGTCAATATTTAATTTATTTTGTAAATGTGTACTTTAGCTACATGATATATTTATTTTTCATATCATAACTGTTTGTATAATAAATTAAATTATATGTGTATTTTGCATAGAGATTAAGATTTAAAAGATTTGTTGGGCTTCTTTTGCTTTTTCCAAACAATAACAAGAGTAAAACATTTCGAAAAGCCAGATTAAAGCGAACATAAAACTAAATTTCTCATAGATCTTCCCTGTCATGACTTGTACAAATAATGTTTCTGTCGGATGTCAAGTATCTCGGCTACTCTGGCATCCTGCATCTCTCTGAGGGCTAAGCTTATAATTCTAATAAGCTTACATCTACTCATATTCTGAATAATTGCATTTGCTACGGAATAGTAGGGCAACCAGTAGGGTCAAAACAACCACTCACCCACAACTCCCACTCCCACATCCACTTGACAATCAATCAATCTTAAGTGGAGAGCTGCAGAGCGAAATCCAGTGAGATCTGTTCGTGAATATACAGAGAAATATTGAGGGGGCATTAGCTGCTAATCTGCATACTGTGTCAAACGGCGATGTCGGGATGCATTGGGTTAGTTTATTTTTTGCCAAGTGCCACTTGCAACAAATTGGAGATGAAGCCACAGCTGCGGGTGGCAAATAAAAAAGCTTACTGAGAGCAAGGGGGCTTTTCACTTAACCAGAGGAGCTCCTAAATCTTCTGGCAACTTTTTGCCGCACTGCAGCAGCACTGGCAGCAGCGGCAACAAAAACAATGGAAAATCAATAGGAATTGCAACCCCAAGCAGAAATCATAGTCTGTGATCCGATGCACTATGGGGCCAACGACCACATTCGTTGGCCAAAACCCATTTTTGAAAAGTCGTCAAAACCAAAAAAGTTGTTTTAGGATATATTAACAGAAGACCAATCTGCAATGTTACGTATCAGGAATTCCGATAGAGTGCGCTTCTGTTAAGATAACAGCTGTTAAATCAGATGTTT